CCCCGGCATATGCAGGCCGCGCACTCATATGCCGCGGTTAGAAACAATGCGAGGAAACGAGCCATCTTTTCCTGCTGCATCGGCACCGGCACCGGCACCGGCACCGGCACCGGCGCGGAAGAGGAGCGAGCGAGCGAGCGAGCGAGCGAGCGCCGCGCTTCCGCCCGCCTGTTACGCGAACCCAGGTAGCTGACGTTTCGGAGGCGAGTCTCCCAAAACTCAACCAGATGCTGCGAAATTCTATAAAATAACAAGAGATTTTCGACCACCGGAAGTCCCCGCTAACAAACTGAATTGGATATTTTTCCATCGCACGTCTTAACGTACCTAAGAAGATTTCTCGAAAGACGAATTTGGACTCCGTAAAATTAAAACTTTTTCTAGCGGATAGAGAGATATTATTTTTATTTTTGAAAATTATTTATTTTAAAGCTTATTGATATATAACGCGACAAAAGGGAAAAGATTTTTGCCCAGCCCGAAAAAGGCTTATAATTCAGTCACGACCGGTGGACGGTTTAGGCACCGCGCATTAATATTATAGAAAGAAACGAAAAGAAGAAATTATACCGGTAACCGTAATCCAGATAATCGAACGGATTCGCCCGGATAATCCGGGGAGAACGAGCGAGAAATGTGTCGTCGTCAATCGTCAGCGGAAATCCTAATTACGGATTGTGTAATTTGTTAGACAAGAACGGATAGGTATCGTGGCGGCGGTTATGAAAATGCATTAGTCTCGTTTCGAGGGAACTCCGGGGCTCTCTTCTTAATGCATAACTGGCGTGTAAGAAACTGCTGTCGTGCCGAGCGTTCGGAAACAATGCGAGGAAGCGAATCCATCTTTTCCTGTTGTGCTCGCATTGAAACGGAGCCGAGAAGGCGGACGCTCCGTCCGCTCGTGACGGCGCGCTCCGCTCCGCTCCGCTCAGCTTTGCTCCAGCTCCGACGTAGGCGCGTTCGAGAAAAACGCGCCAGATAGACTCTCAGCCGCGAAACATACTGGGTGGCGAAAAAGTGAATGATCCGCCATTTAATACCAAGGCTGATAAGAATCCTTTCGCTAATTGATATTCAACAATGACCACGCGTTCATATTAATAATAATACGGACAAAGTGTCGAGCTAACTCGGCATTAATTATCGATATTAGTTAACATTTTATATCTCTATAACAATGATACGATTAAATCGTTATTAAGTCATATTACTAATTTCGACAGCGTCAATTTGATCCCGATCACGCCCGGGGAATCTGGAACTTTCGCGGTTCAATTAACGCGGAACGACAATTGCGCGCGCCGGCGATCGATCGTCACGCGAGATCAACACGTTAATCGGCGATACTGATACCGCGACGATAGCCGGTAGGCGGTATTACGCAGTTTCGAAAAAAAAAAAAAAAAAAAAAAAAGAAAGAAAAAAAACGGATATCAGCCTTACTCGCCTCGCTCCGCGACTGTATATCAGTAACCGTCAGCGTTACGTAACGGCCGCCATGTAGGCGCGATTTCGGTGGCAACAAAAATGCCGATGGCGAATCGCGAAGATCATCTCGATTCTCGCGTCGCAGGCACGAAACGATTCTTCTCGATCCGTTTAATTGTCGCTTATCCAAGCCGCGGCGGGTCTATCCACCTGTCTCACCTGCAATGTACACGCCTATGGGCAGGCAGTCGTCAATCAAGACTCGGCAGGTTTTCCAGACGAGCGCATGAAACCCCGCGGTCCCGATTAAGCCGCATATTCCGATCCCGTTCGGGCTAAGCGGGACGAGGACAGGAAAGACCGCCGGCCCGATAAGAATCGCTAATTCAAACAACGCCATTGTTCATCGATCGCGGCGGCGAGGCGTCGCGTCGTTTAATTAACGACGCCGATATACGATAGTACGTGCTCGTAATAACAGCCCGGAGCACTTTACGTTTACGCCGAGGCAGCGCCTTGAAAAACATCTTCATGGTCACCGAACATTCTTGACCTAAAGACACTTTACATTGATTCCTCTTCTATGTTATGTCTCATTGAATTCGCATCAAAAGTTACGACTTCCTGTTTGTTGCAGCGCGAGTCGCGAGACGAGTACAGCGTATATAAAAAGATTATGTTTTCTGCACACGTTTTTCTGTTAAGTTTATACTCAGACTCAGGCGAGATTGAACATCGCGCTACGTGTGTTGTAATAGGTGTAATAATTGAGAACTTTTTTGACTATTTTGACGGATACGCAGGCGCATTTTGTGAGATGAGAAATTAATTTAACACGATATACACGACAATATTTCAGGAACTAATGACCTACTTATTTGAGATAAAGGAAAAGGGGGAAGATAACATTCACAGATAACAATAAAAGGAACGGGAACATTATTCCCCGATCTCCCCGGTCCTCAACGATCGCACAAAATGTCTAGCAAGAAAAATGTGACTCCACTATTTTATCTCAGCGTTACCCGGATGAATCGGTTTTGACATCCGTCAAAAATTCAAGACGGGCGTCATTCGTTCCCCAGCTCCGCTCTTCGTCGCTCCGTTTCTTTCGCGCGAGAGCGGTATATCCTCGTTACTCTATTTCCGTTATTTCCCGCGCGCGGCATCCGTCGGCAGCGAAGCTGCTACGATTCCTGAATCCGTCCGCCCGTCCGTCCGTCCATCCGTCCGTCCGCCCGTCTATCCGTCGATCCGTCCACCCACGGTGCCCGCGCGCCGAGTGTGGGCAGTTTCCTGTACGTTGATCACGTATTCCTTTTTTCCAGCCTACACACGTTCGCGGGCGCGCTCGCGCTCGCCTCTGTGTTGGCAAAAGCGAGGCGTACTGAGAGTGAGCGACTTGCGAGGGCGGGGAGAGGGGGAGAGGGAGGGGAGAGAGAGAGAGAGAGAGAGAGAGAGAGGAGGGAGGAGGAGGA